CTTCTTGAGAAGAAACTGTAGTTTTGTATCTTTGTACATACCCAGTACCAAGCACCTTAGTGTGCTTAGTACCAACAATCCTTAGCACATGGTAGGTGTAAAATAAATGGTCAATTGAATCTGTATTTATTTTATGATCCATTTAGCACATGATGAATAGGGAGTATGGAAGGGAAAGGAGCAATATAGATTAATCAAATAAACCTTATATGCCAATGTTTTGGTAGTTAATAGCAAAATTAAGCTAAAATGTGTTATCTTCTAGCTGCATTCTTTGTAACTAGAAATAATTTTCTAGGACGCCAAATGGTATGAATATAAGGCTCTAGCTAATTGAGTCCTATTATTTTCTTAGAAATAATCATTTTAAATGACTTTTTAAACTGTCAAACAAAAAATCAAATGAAGATTATTTTAAAATTTAAAGCATTATCTAAATGTGGCAAAATATTAATTTTTCAGCATGAGGTTCTTTGGCAACAATGAAATATGGTTAAGAGAATGTGTCCATGTGGCAGACTGAACATGAGAAAGAGAGCTGCATTTTTCTCTCTTCATTTATACAGTTGGCAACTAAGTTATTGCTTTGCTTTTCATTTATTCAATATTGCTTTTTGTTTAAAATGCTGGGAATAAAAACTGTAAAATGCTTACCATGTTGTATTTTTTCTGAACATTTAAGGGACCTAATCTTTTTGCTCTGTTTTACACTATAGTAAACTACTGTTCTTCTGAGATGATTCTCTTGTCAATGGTGAAGAAAAACGTAAGGTATTAAAACTGGAGGAGAGCAAAAGGAAATCTAGTAAAACCAATAAAAGCAAGACAAACATTTGACAGGTTACTATGGTTGTGGCTGAACAAAAAATACACAAACAAAACGTACCAGTGTCAGTATACGACAGATTCCTTTCAAATGACAATTCTGATGAAAAGCCATTAATATCTTGATACATCAATACTATGCTTCTAATAGAAAGAATTTTAGTTCATGAAAAACTATATCCTTATATTAGTCACATGAAAAGCAGAATATTTAATAGTTCATGTTTATTTAGTTCTTTAATATCTAACAAGCCCTTTCCTCCTTGCAACTAAAAAGTCTTTTATAAACATATCCAAAAAGGTCCATAAGAATTTATTTTTAAAAGAAGAATATCTTGTTATTTAATTCGTGAAAATAGCTGTGATTTCCCCTCAAAAGCAGGTAATTGAATGTATTTTTCCGTCACATCCAAATGTTTGGTGTTACGCAGACAAATCTTTGAGAGTCTGTTGCATTCATATGAGTAGTCAATTTTTCAACAATAGAAAGCTAATTTTCTTTCAGAGTAAAAATATGGTTTACTTTCTTACATTTAAAGTATAATTTTAAAATAATTAAAATTTTAAAATATTAAAAATAGGATTTATTTTATACTATATTTAAAGACGACCCAGTAGACAATAAACACTAATATTTTGCGTTCTTTTCCACAATGATCTGAATCCTCATAATGAGTATTCAGTAAAAAAAAAAAAAGTTAGATTACCTCATAAATTTATCAATTTATCAACTATAGTATTTCAAAAGATTTAACAATTTGAAAAATTTACTGGGACCCTATTGTATGCAAGAATGGTGTTTTGGATTTTATTTATGAATTTATTATTGACTCATATCATACTGGCTGAATGACTTTAATCAATCTGAATCTTGACAGATGGACTGATCAATTTCTAGTCACATGACCAACAAGATGGAAGACTAGACATTTTCTCTTTTACCCATGACCTCTCAAAGCTCTACAAAACTGAAATTATGTGCCAAAGATAAAGCAATTTCAGCTATCTCCATGGCCTAGGACAACAGGACTTAAAAAATGAAAACCAAAAAACCCACGAACTACTATTACCTACCTTGAGCTAACACAGCACTCTCTACCCCAACACTTACTGGGCTACCTACAGCAAGGCTGTACCAGCTGACCCAACTTATGGCCTCTCAACAAAACCCAATCCCACACTCCAGTCCCTACAGAAAGAGAGAGCTTTTTCCAGTGCCTTGGAGATCTGGGCTCCAGGCTACAGAAGTTTGCGGGGGGCCTCAGTGGCCAGTGCTGCGGCAGCATTCCGTTCTACAAAAGATCTCTGCATGACACTGGAGGAAGAGAGGGAATGGGGCAGAAAATGTGTCTACTCAAGCCCACAACCAAACTCCTGATTCCCTCCTCCCAAAGCCAGAGAGATCCAAACTACAAACTACAAAAAACACCAGCTACAGTAGCATCACTATGGAAGTGCTCTGTACCACTGGGGCAGAGAACTGAGGAACAGGGGGAATGTGACAGGACATAGTGTGTACTGGGGGAAGAGGGTTGGGGGAATATAGTACTGCTCTAAGACTGAGGGAAAGGGCTCAGCATACAGCTGAGGCCAGTTCTGTCTCCCCAAAAGTGAATTGGAGCAGAGAACTAGACTGGTGAACTGTTAATTACCCAATGTGTGAGGAGACTAATGTTTTGAGATCCATATCTCAGGGAAAACACTATGAGAGTGGAGGGAGTCAGAAAATGAGTAATAGAAGAAAATAAGGGGAAAAGACACAGAAATTACCAAAGGCTTCAGGAGGAAAAAAACTCAACGGCTTGAGCATAAGCATATAAATCAACAGGGAAAACATTAACAGCAGAAAGATAGGGCTTCCTGATCTAGTAAAGAAGTTTATGAACAAATACTACAGAAAAAGGAAAATGACTTAACACTGAATGAGACAGAGGACCCTGTGGAATTTAAGGAGAACCCAAAACTACAACAAGTTGTTTCAGAGTGGATTAAAAGAAAAATAAGAATAATGAAAGCAGAATTAATGGCCTATACAGCAGAAATAATTGGTAGAATAGAAGAACTTGGATCAATGTTGCCAAATCTCATCAAGGAAACAAAGGAGAGGACAACTGATTAGGAATGCAAAAACAAAGAAGTGAAGGAGAATCTTGAAAAAGAAAAGCAATAAGCAATAACTTTAAAAGAAAACATGGTTTTAATTCAAGCAAAATAAAATGATCTTGCAGACAAAATATGAAGAGACAGCCTAAGGATTCTAGGTTTCCTAGAAGAACAAAAGTCAAAAAACCTGAACAATTATAATTCAAGAAACAATACAAGAAAACTGTAAAAAAAACTTCAGAATACAGAAAAGAAAATATCAATTAAAAATCTATAGGTTGCCTCCAGAAAAAAAAAGAAATATATTCAAAGCTGAAAACTCTGAAACACATGGTGGTTAAATTTAACAATTCAATTTAGAAATATCTGTGTAGAGCAGTGAGAGAAGAAAGACTAAAAAATAGGTGACCAATTAGGATGCCACTTAAATAGTCTAGGTGAGAAGTGATGAGTGCCTGTACTAAGCTGTGAGTAGAGAAAAGGGACAGAAGAGAGAGATAACTGTGGAGGTAGAATAAAAAGACTTGGCAACAAATCAAATGAGATAATATTTGTAAAGTACTTAGCACAGTGCCTGGCACATAGCAGGCACTTAATAAATGCTTGTTTCTTTCTTCTTCGCCCTTCTCCCCCCAACTGGATATGAGAGGTGACAGAATAAGACACAAGAATGACAATAAGATTCCAGCACATGAAAAAATTTTGACAGGTCTATACTGTTTGTCATGGAGGGGAACTGACAAGGTGCTACTACAGAAATTTATAAAAAATAATGAGTTCCCATAGAACTGGGAAAAATCAACTAGGACTTTTTAAATTCCATAATACCAAACAAAATGCTTTGATTCTTTTAATTATTTAAACTGAATTGGCAGTCTTTTTGGCATTATACAGGCACAGCTTTAATGTTTATAGTTAACTCTGGATTATTTTATATTAGAATCCACCATCCCTGATGATGATTCAAACACTGATTTTCTGAACATGGGAACTGATGATCCCCTGCTTACAATTTCCATTCTTGCCCTAACAGCTGCACTGCTGCCTCATCCTACTATGTCTTGATTTTCTATGCTGATTTCCTTACAATTTACTTGGTGGAATGACCATGTGGGACTCAGAGCTATTTCCTATACCATTTCCTTGACTACCACATTTCTGAGCCTAGAATAATTACATCTAATGAGTATGCTTTCTTGCTAAATAAAATCTGGAAATAGAGTCAGATTCCACAGAGTTTTAGTGACCTAATCTTGCAATATATTATCAGAACTGAGAGTGATAATTTAGGGTCAAAGTGCTGACTAAGGTGGGGTGGGGAGGGAAGGCTGGGGTACCAAATATTCCTAAAATAAAAGGGGACTGGGGAAATTTTGGAGATAATTGAAGGAAATTAAAACCATTTCCATAATGAAAAATTAATACATGTAGAAATCTTTTATTTAAATATAACTTTGTTTTCAATACATTAGAGGGAAAGTGGCTACTAGCTTTAAAATTTTATCATAGAACCTCTATCTGCTGCCAATAGAACACAGGATTTCATGGAACATAGTATGTGAAAAAGGATCTAAGTAAATATAAGTGGTATTTGGGAGCTGTCTTTTTTGGCAAGTCAGTGAGCTCTTTCCATACCAATAGGAATTTTTAGTATTATTTGCTTCTTCTTAACAATATTTTTCTTATCAATATTTGAAGCCTTTTCAGCAACTAGGTGGCGCCGTGGATAAAGTGCCAGGCCTGGAGTCAGGATTCCTCTTCCTGAGATCAAATCTGGCCTCAGACACTTACTGTGTGACCTTGGCAAGTCACTTAGCCCTGTTTGCCTCAGTTTCCTCATCTATAAAATGAACTGGAGAAGGAAATGAAAACCCACTCCAGTATGTTGTCCAAGAAAACCTCAAATAGGGTCACAAAGAGTTGGACCCAGCTGAAAAATGACTGAATTTCTTCATTAACATAGACAATGGAAAGTGCTGCCTCATTTTGAAAACTATTGCAAAATGGCTGTGATTTCAATACAGATGGGAGGAAAGAATTTAAGGAAAAAAAAAAGGTTAAGGTAACCTTACATGGGTGAACAGAACTTCATTTCTGATTTCTTCAAAATTTTCATTTGGTGTCCACGCTTCAGCAAATTTCAGGAAATCCCACTTTTCTTTGTCACCTTCTTCTGCCTCTAGTTTCTCTTTCCTACCATTCAGTGTGCTACCAGTAACGATGGCCTGCAGGATTGAGAAACAGGTGAATTTTTCAGTTTCACATCTAATCTTATCTGTGAAAAAACCTTAACTTTATCTTACATTTAAATCAGACACTGTAAACTTTGAAAGATTTCTTTGTGCTTTAATGTTAAAAGCATGATCTATAATATTTTTCAAAATAATTATCTGCTCACTGATACCTATATTTGATAGAAAAAAGATCTCAGAGAACAACATCAAGATTTCTTAAAAAGTTTTTTTTTTAATTTCTTAGTTACAGAAAAATTCTCATACTATTCTGTTTGGGTTTAAATAATGTTCCATTTTCGGTCTTTTTGAGTGTCCGCACCCTTACCTTCAACAATCTATTACTTCATCAGTGTAGACACTTTTTCCAAAATGTAGTTCAGAATACCTCTAGATCTCAGTAGGCCTTCTTAAGTTGCGTCCAAAACCCTCCATCACATGGCAGCTTGCATTCTAGAAATGAGCTTCTTCCTATTTAATTAGGCTGAGCTATGGCCAATAAATATGTACAGACTTATACTTAATGCTTTTCCAACCTAGGAAGACCTGTCGTTTCTTTTCTTTTCTCTTTTTTTTTTTGTTTTAGGCAATTGGGGTTAAGTGACTTGCCCAGGGTCACAGAGCTAGTAAGTGTCAAGTGTTTGGTCTGAGGCCAGATTTGAACTCAGGTCCTCCTGACTTCAGGGCCGGTGCTCTATCCACTATGCCACCTAGCTGCCCCAAGACCTGTCATTTCTAAACTAAGATGAGAGAGACCATCAGAAGAGGATTCCAGTGTATGGTTTACATGTTTGAAAAACTGCTGTAACTAATTTCTTTCAGGTTACTAGAGAACTCTACTACTAAATCCAGTACCTTCTTCTCCGTAGTTATTCTACTTGACCTCTGTGCAGCTTTTCTCAAGGCTGACTGAGCTTTCTCCTTCTGGACATTTTCTCCTCCTTTAGCTTATGTGGCACCCTCTTGGATATGTCAAATAAGGAACTGATGACATTTCTCCTAAAACTTGCTCCTCTTCAAAACTTTCCTATTTCTATCGAGGCTAAAATTTTCAGTCACTCAGGGCTCTGCTCTCTTCTTCCACCCCCAAAACCACTCAGCTGCTGCATCTTGCTAGCTTCACCTGCCTGACATTGGCCTCACCTGTGCCCTCCTCTCCACTTCCAAAGCTCCATCTTTGTCCAAGCTTTCATATTCTCCTGTGTGGATCACTTCAAGAGCTTCCTAACTGGTTCCTTTCAATCCATCCTCATAATTCCCAAACTGTTATTCTGAAAACACAGATTTGATTACATCATTCCCTTACTAAAACAAAAAAAAATTCTAGATCCTCTACAGTTCTTACTATTTTCTTCCTTAAATTATCATGTATTTAGTTATCCATTTACATTTTCTATCTACCCTGGATATATCTTATTTGTACATAGTTATCCATATGTTGTCTCCTCATTAGAATGTGAGCTTTTTGAGAGCAGGGACCATATTTTTGCCTTTCTTTGCCCAGGAAAGTTAAGGTATAAGTATTTACAGAGTGCCTACTATGTACCAGGCATTGTGCTAAGCACTTGACAAATATTATCTCTCTGATCCTCACAAAAACCCTGAAAAAGGTAAGTGCTATTATTATCTTCCAGCTATTGAGGGTCTGAGGATAGATCTGAATTCAGGTCTTTCCAAATGCAGGCCCAGTGCTCTATCTATTGTATTACCTAGATGCCTGGCATAGTGCCTGCCACATACTAAGTGCTTAATAAATGTTTGTTGACTGACAACCATATGTGTTAATATCAAAGACCCTTGACTTTCTTGGTTTAGGAACTCCCTCCACAAATGCACATGCTTCCCCATCTAAAATTTCCTGAAGCTAGAAAGGTTTGGTGGCTTGTTCCCCTAGTCATCAAGCAAGTGTAGGAGCCATACTATAAACCTAGGCATTCCTGACTCCAAATCTAGAACCATTATCTACTAGCCTATGCTGACTCCTAGCATTCAGATATTAAGGAATTAACCAATGTGTGCTGGATTAGATTGGTTTAGGGGAAGGAGCATTAGACTAGTTAAACTGAGATGATTCCCTTCCCCCAATTCAAGAACAAGGCATGAGGCTGCTGGTGCACATACTGATCTTCATCCCAAATGAGAAGCAGGGCCAAAGAAACAAGAACCTTCCCAAGGCGAGTACACTGAGGGAGGTACATAATCCCTTAGAAGTCTCTATTGTGGTGTTAAAAGAATTTCAGTGGAGAGCAGGTGTAGATAAACTTTCATGCCATGGTTTTACTACGGGTGATATATGGTAATTACCATCACAGGAATTCAGAGCGTGGTATACCTCCAGAGATCATTTTCTGACTTCATACCCTAGTTACAAATCATCTTGGTTGGCTTGAGCCTCTTCTGGAGGGCTACCATTAAAAAAAAAAAGCCTCATATTGAAGAAAGATACTATTTGTAACAAAGTAAGCTGGTAACTTAGCTGGTTTACCTTGCGGTTCAACATCCCCCACATCAAAGTGTCCAGTGTTCCATTAGCAATAAGATAGTGGATATTTACAGAACTGCATTGTCCAATTCGGTGAGCACGGTCTTCTGCTTGTTTTATGTGTCCTGGATCCCAATATAACTCAGCAAATATGACATGAGTCGCTGCAGTGAAAGTTAAACCCTAAGCAATTTAAGCAAAACAAATGGTGATTCTATTATGGCTAAGATATAAGCATATCATATAGGAATGGCAAAAACATCTGGAAGGAAATCAACTTTGCTCAATAACACAAAAAAAATAGCATAAATTTCCAAATGATATTGTTTGAATGAGAGGTTTATAGATTAAAATTTTGACTTTCATTTTAAGCATCATATGAAATATACAAAATTAATTTTAAACATCACACAGAATATACAAAATCAATGACAAGGTTTCATAGATTTCACGAAATCTTATAGGTACTTTACTAAGAATCCCTTTCTGCTTGAATACCTCCACTGAGATGTAACTCATTACCATTCGAGGTTCTACTTTAAGATAGCTTCTCTACACTCTCCACACACAATGCTTCTAATTTGTCCTCTGGGGCCAAGCCCAGCCAATCAAATCTCTCTTCCACATAAACGTCCTTCAAATCCCTTGAAGATAGTTTTAGTAACACGTCTACCTCCTGCTATACCCAAGTTTTTTCTTCTCTAGACTACTCCCTAAGTTCTTTAACTAATCGTTATTTGGCATATCAAAGCCCTGTACAACCCTGGTTATCTTTCTTTTGATATTTTCAAACTCATCAATGTCCTTCCTAAAATAATGGTATTCTGAATGAGGCAATATATAGCTCTGGACTGATAATGCTAGAGTTCTAGAAGACTATCATTCCCATAGTCTGGTGCACAAACCCTGTCTTAACACAGGCTAGTATCATGATTAATTTCTTTGGATGCTATATCACACTGCTAATACATGTTGAGTTTCGAGTCCATGAAAACTCAGATTTATCTAGCCATGCCTCTTGTACATGTAAAACTGGATTTTGTTTTTGTTTTTTAACCCAAATACAGGATTCTGCATTTGTCTTCATTAAATTTCATTTTGTTAGATTTGGCTCAAAGTTCCAGACCAACTAGATCTGTTCAGATTATAATTCCATAATCCATCACAGGAGTGATCCCTCTCAGCTTGGTATTGTATGCAAATTTATTTGGCCTGTCAAAATGTAGAACTATTACTTGCTCTGGGCAAAAAGAAAAGTGAGTAGAACATAAAAAGTAAATTGCACACAATTATCTAATAAAATGGCTAAAGTTTCTTTTCAAGATACAATAGCATTACACACAAATATATAAATCATGTGTACGTGTGTGTGTGTGTAAAAACAATATATACGTATCTATTTATCTATTGAGCTACCTACCTATCCATTCCAGACATTTGATTTCACTGGTGTGGGGAGCTCATGCTGAAAAATTGCCTATACTAATGAAGACTGACAGCTTCTCTGCAATGTATAATCTTAGAGAGTTGCTTAAAGCACTGAGAAGTTAAATGTGCCCAGGTTCATAAATGTGCCCAGTAGGGATCAGAAGGGAGTACTGAACCTAAATTTTCCTATGTCTGAAGGCAGCTCTCTGTCTGCTCTATCATGCTGCCTCCCATCTATATATTTCCTTTTTATGAGTATAATGGGGCTTTGCTTCATGCCCAGATTACCTATGGTGCAGGCAACCATGTGAGAGATGCCATTCTGCCTTAGCCTATCATGTGGCTTTCCTGTTTGCTGCATGGCTAGAATCCTACATGACTTTAAATCTACCCAACTGAGGCACAGTTAGTTTTCTTACAAGTGGCATCCAGGGGTGATGGTCTTATTCAGGCACGATGGGGGTGACAAGCAGTAACACAGGAGGAAGGGCTTCCTTCCCCTCCTACTAGACAAGATGAGCTTGAGAAATGAGCTTGAAGGTTGGGCTGTTTTGTTTATCCTTTTCAGTTCTAGGTACAGAGCATACAGTTCCTAAATCCTGGAGGTTGAGCCCTGGGAAGCCTGGAATCTGGGGATGCCAGGTCAGATGTTACAACCAGCCTAGTAGAGAAGCCAAGGTCCCAACAGGCAAGCCCATGGGAGCTTTGGACTATAGTTTTGGCTATACAGGAACTGAACTAAGCTGTGAACCTAATCTTTCTGCTACCCCCTGCGGCGGGATGAGGTGTAGAAGGAATTATAGTAAAGCTATTAGCCAGCCTGGGCCCTTTAGAAAGTCAGATTTAGGTGGACAAGACAGTAGTTACGATGAGGATTATGATCAGCCCATACCATCAACTAGTACAGATACAAAGACAGATGATCAACATATCATAAGATCAGTACTATTCTCCAAGTAGTTCTGTTAATCTTGGTTGTTTTAAAAGAAAAAGAGAGTGGAAGAATAACATACTAGGTGGGAGAAGAAAAACAAAGTTATGGAAAACAATCTCACATAACCGGAGTACGCAAGTAGAAGTCTAAACAAACAAGGAGGAAGAGGTGGGGGGCAGTGGCTGGACTGAACCTTGTTCGAACCTGAACTGGTCAAAGGAGGGAAGAATTCACATAGAGACACACAGATGGGTAAAGAAATACATTTCACTCAACAGGGAAATGAAAAAGAAAGTATATAATGGAGAAGGGGGAATTAAAGGGATGGTAGATTAAGAGGAGATTAGTCCTAAGCAAAATAAACTTTTAACTCAGTATGTACAAAAGTATTTAAAGGTCACCAAGAATTGGAATCTGAAAAGGTGCCTATTAACTGGGGAATGGCTAAGAAAATCATGACATATAAATGCTACCTATTGTACTATAAGAAATGATGAAGAGGATAGTTTCAGAGAAACCCAGGGAGACTTATATGAATTGATGCAGAGTGAAGTGAACAGAACTAAGAGAAAAACAGTAAATTTACAAAAGGACAACAATACTGAAAAGGCAAACAACTTTGAAAGACTTAAGAATTCTGATCAGCATAATCACCATCCATAATCCCTGAAGACTAATGATGAAACAGGCTACCCACCTCTTGATAGAGAGGTGAAAGGCTCAGAGTGAAGAATAAGACTTTATGTGGGAGGGAAAGATGGCAGATCTTTAAAATTGAATTTAAAAAAGTAAAGAAAAAAAGAACACATTAGCCAGATTTAATATTATTTTTCATAAGTATCTGTGGTCAACCCTGTTCTTATGTTACTCGGTGTTTCTTTTTTACAGCATGAGGACTCAATGGAAGCCACAAAGGAAAGAGGGATCTTTCCTAGTGAAAATATATTGATTTTGTATCATTTTTTATTGATCTTATTTATAATTAATTGATTTTGTCCTGTAACAGCTTAAGTCATGGTTCCCCGTCTCTGAACTTAGTTCAGAATTAAACTGGCCTGTAGTGAGTTAAGTTCAGAAATCCAGTTCTCTTGCCAATCACTGTTTTATTCTCCCCCAAAGGAATTTTGCTGACCCAGGGGGATGCAGCTTGCCATAAATGGAAGTAGGGCCTAATATCTTTTCTTCAAGGATGTCTGGTTTGCTATCCAAACAAGTTTGGGCAACTATCTTGTAGATGGACTAAAAAAAAAAAAATCAAAACTTTTTAGTCATAGGAAGGAGAGAAGGAGGGGAATTGTTGCTAGCCCCCATTCCCAACTTCTAACCAATCACATTGTTCCCCACACTTCAGCTATGTAACCAATTACATTGCCCTCAACCCCATGATGTCACCTATCACCTACCCTGTTCTGTTCTGTTCTTTGTTCTGTACTCCCCAAAACCTATACAAGGAAACTGTCCTTTCGTTCAAGGTGTTTGGCTGGAAACTGAGGCAGCCACTGACCCTTGTACTCTCAGGATTTGTGCCCTGTGAATAAAATACTATCTTGCTTGAAGAAAACTTGCCTTGGTCTATATTTGTTGAATTTCACTTGCAACACTAATACAGGGCTATGAGGCTATGAAGCCAACCTTTACCTACTATTAGAGAGTTTTGCTTCTTAATTGGGGGGCATAACCATTTCATAATTGTACTTCCAAGTACAGAAGTATTATATTTTATCTACCTTAAAAACATGAGCCAATGTTACGCATGTGTATGAATGATTCTACATATTTGTAAATTTCTATTACTTACCAATTGTTAACCCCAATCCAAAAGAGATAAATAGTGACTTTCCCCCAGTTGTTCACACTAACCTTGTTTTTATGGTGTTGTTGACCTTTTTTTTTTTTAAATAACATGAATACTAACAATAGCTGCTGAAATTTAGTCTTTAAGATTTTCAAATTGCTCAGATATCCATCACACTTACTTATCTTCACAAAACCTCCTATACACAGGATATCATTTCTATTTTACAAAAGAGAGAAATAAAGGTGAAAATGGTTAAGTGACTTGCTAAAAACACATGGTTAATAGGTGATGGAGGCAGAATTCAAATACAGGTCTCCTCCGACTTTAAGTCCAATCTTCTTTCAGGGATTTGATGTTGTTATTGCTTGCAACTAAAGAGTTGTAGTAAGTCATTCTCCACTGGCAAATTAAGTTCTATTACCTTTGTCTTACCTGTCCAGCAGCCTGAATGCTTAGGATAGCCACTCGAGTATCAGGATCCTTCTGAAACTGATTGACCAGATATATCCTTTCTGAAGAAGGAACACTTCCATCTATTCTAATGTAACGAACCTAAAGTTTACAAGGCAAATGGCAAAGTCAGGGGAAGTTCTTGTGGAACTACTTCACATAATGAGACAAACATTTTTCTAATACTTTATAAACTTAACATAGTTCATAGCTGACATATATTCACATATGATTTCTACAGGACTCCCCAATGTATACATTCAGTTAACTGCCTACTGAACATCTCCACTTACATGTCCGTTCTATAATTCAAGTCAACTTGTCAAAATGATACTTCCACTTGAACCTGCCCATCTTCAAAATCTCCCTGTTTCTGACAACAGTGCTAATATCTTCCCAGTGATACTCGGATTCATAATACTGGCGTCTTTTTTGACTCCTTCTTCATTAGCCCCCAAATCCAACCACTTAGTCCAAGTCTATTTTGGACTCTCGTCTCTTTCACAACTCCCACATTGGATAGTTGCCAAATTCTGCTGGGTTTCACATGTACATTTCTCATTTCTCTCTCAGCTCTGGCTCTCTGAACTTCTCCAGCTCTACCTCAACAGCTTCTCATCACTGAAGAAGGCTCCACACCTTCCTGTGATTGATGAGCTCCTCCTTGGAACTACCATGGAAGGAAGTGCCTAAACCAGCCACATTCATTTGTCTCTGAAGTCCACTCCTAACTCTCTGGTCCTCTTCATATTCACCATAGAAACTTTCTCACTTTGGAAGACGCCTCTGCCACTTCCTCTGATTCATGAGGTCCTTGCTGGAAATATCGGAGAAGTGTCCAAGACAGATATGCTCATGCCTCTGTCAGGTCTACTTCTGAATTTCTGGACTTCTCCACATTGCCCCTGTGCAGGTACCTTCCTCCCATGCCCCTTCTCAGCTCCCTTTTATGTGTTGTCTTCTCTCGTTAAAATGTTAGCTTCTTGAGGGCAGAAATTGTCTTTATTTTTGCTTGTATTTTTATTCCCAATGCTTGTCTACCTGACATGCAGTAAGCACTTAATATATTTCATTCACTCTATCTATCTATCTATCTATCTATCTATCTTTCATCCCTTCCTCTATACTCAATCTGCCATTATATTGGGTTATACCTTAGCTATGGTCCCTACTACTTTATAATTCCAGGAACAAGTCCATTGGTGTGGCTAATCCTTTCTACAAAGTGTATCAAAACGTCTCTACAACTTGGTAGGCAGTAAGACGAGTGGCTGTAATTAAACAATTCACCATAACATGACTAGCCTGGTGATAAGTCTCTGAATTTAGAATGGTCCTTGAATCACATACATTTATTTTGTTACTGGGCCTATAATTAAAGTCCTTCCAATTTGAAGAATTTAATTTCCAATTAGCATAATTTTCTCCATAAGATAAACTTAAATGAACTGTTATTAATAAACAATCTGCATCCGAAGAATGTAAAAACAGTTTACATGAAAACTAAACATACCTTGCTTTCTATAACTGCTTCTGTACAAGCTTGGAGCATGCTTAAATGATGAGCAAAAACTAAAAATTTAAGCGAATCATTCTGAAGCATCATTTTAATATAGTCCTTTGCTGCACCTGCCTAAATATAAAAGACAACATATAATTAATCGCATAAAAATTATTACAAAGAAAATCTAGCCATGTTTTCTCATACACAAATGAAAAATCTCTAGAGAGGTCAGGGATATTCTAAGAATTAATTTATATGAGCTTTATAAATGTTAAATGGTCTTGTTAGCCTTTAAGTGGCACTGAGAAATGTGTAATATTTGCACATGTAATATAAATCAATGCTTTTAGGGCCATATTGGTACAATTCTTCAGAGAAACATGCCCACTGTGTAAACAACATTAGGGAAATTACATGTTTTTAACTATAAGAAAATTCAGAGAGAAAATTATTGTGAGATTAAGTGAAGAAACCCAATAATCACAATTTCCACACAGTAAAACTCAAAAGCAATGTGCTTGTTCCACAAGCTCTATCTTGTATTTCCAAATATTCTTAACAGCAGAAATCTGTAATCTAGACACATAATGCCTCAGAGAAGCATGATTAAACCCTCACAAAACAAAAATTTTAATTTTTAAAATTCTAGCTATGTTGTCATTGCAAACAGAATGACTTAAAAGTCAATAAATTAAGATTTACTTAATTTTTTTGTAGGTCAAAACCTGGGATTTAATTTATATAAGGAATTCCTCTTCTGCTCACATAGGCTGGCACATAGATTGGCATCTGTAACTTGTAGCTTTGGATTCTTATATTTGCCTAAATAAATTTATTTTGATAGGTATTTATAAAATATATGTCAAATTTAAAAAATTTTAACCTTTAAGCATATTTCCTTTACCTACTTAAGGACCCTTTTAATTTATGAAGGGGCCTCTGTTACCCCAGTTACCTCAATAGTATCCTAGCTCTTCCCTAATAGTACTGTCCTCTTATCTTGCATCACCAAAACTACTAGCCCCAGAATCCCTATACTTGTTGCTCCTCCATTAAATCAGAAGGGCTCAAGAAGGTCGGGACCACAACAAATACTACAGAACTATAGTTGAGCTACATATAGTTGAGTTAAGTGGGTTAAATTTAGAGGTTAGTTTGGTAACATAATTTATAATGCTGCCTTTAGTGGACAATTTACAAACTAGCCTTCAGAACACAAACTTGTCATAAGTTTCAAATTGTATATATATATGCATATTTCAAAGTATGTACATCTGAATAAACATTAACCCTTTTTTTCTTTACTTTTACTGAATTATTCATTGTACTATCACATTTTAAAAATCATTTATGCAGGAATTTACTTTAAAAATGCACATTACATGGTAAGGCAGATTCTGGTGATGATCACATTTGTTAATGCTGGTTCAGTGGCAAATCTAGAAAGTCTTATATGAACTGATGCAAAGTGAAGTAAGCACAACCAGTAGAAAATTCTACATAGTGACAGCAATATTGTAATAATGATAAATTGTGAAAGACTTAACTACTCTGATCAATACAGTGATTCAAGACAATTTCGAAGGACTCATGATGAAAAATGCTACCCAACTCCCCAAAGAGAACTGATGAACTCTGAGTGAAGATAGAAGCTTATTTCTTTCTTATCTTTCTTTCTTTTGCAACATGGTTAACATGGAAATATGTTTAGCATGACTTCACATGTATAATGGGTATCATATTGCTTGCCTTCGCAATGACTAGGGGAAGGATGAGAGGAAAGGAGAGAATCTGGAACTCAAATTTAAAAAAAAAAAAAAGAAGAATGTTAATAAATGTGTCCTGTCTTGTACTGTAATACAAATACAGCATATGACAAGTATTAAATACACCTATGTATATGTATATTTATATAATCTGTTTGCATATAAAGATCTATATATAAAAACATTTATCCACAATGATGACATTTTACCTGAAAATTATAAGGTATATAAATGTATGCCATTTCATCTCACCACATGCAATTGTGTATTGCTTTATGAGTATGCTAGAGATATACTAGAGGGAAAGATCAAAAGAACTAGGAGGAACAGTTTATAATGAAGAAAGAATTCATCTGTATTCATCTGTACTCATTGCTGACCATTCAAACTCAACAGGTCCCAAACTTAATTTGTTATTCTCCCTCCCTAAAATACTTCTCCTAAATTCCCTATTTTTGTTCACATAAAATCATCTTTCAGTTACTTAGTCTGAAGAGTTTAGTTCTATTTGTCTCTATTCTCTATATCCATATTTAATTAGTGGTCTAGCCCCGTCAATTCTACCACAGTGACATTCTTGTGCCCACCTTTCCATCCTTACCACGATCTCAGATCATGACTTTATTAATTTCACCATGACTATGGCCATGCACTCTTAAATGATTTTCCAAACTTCCATCCATCTAAAATACTAAGGTCAGGTTAATTTTCCTAAAATGAAGTTCTGATAATATGCTCAAGTATTAAAAAACTATCACTGGCTCCATATTGCCATCCAAATGCTCATTAGGGTGGAATTAAAAGCCTAACTTGGTCATAATTTACATTCTAGCCTTGTCTTCTAATACTCCTGGAAAAATGTTCCAAAAACATCACTTTCATGTTACGCATTAGAACCTGCAACTGAATCTAAATTAATGTATTCAAAGACTGTTAGAAATGGAAAGATCCTTAGATCTAGTCTAACCCACTCATTTTACAGATGAGGAAAGTAAGGTCTTCCTCAACTTAGATAACTTGCCCTAGTTCACAGAGTTAGTGGCAGAATTCATCTTCAAAACTAGCTCTCCTGAATCTTGTCTCATTATGGACTAACCAGAGGTTCCCAAAGTGTATCACCCCCTGGGGAGCACTGGAACAATCTAGGGGGGTAGTAGTAGACTCAGGTGCAACTGAGGGGCGTTGAATAAAAATAAGGGGGTAGTGGAAGCATAAGGAAAGAAGATGAGAAAATTCTGAAAAACTGTACAGGTTTCATCTGTTGTGTAACAGAGTTAAAGTTGTAATGATTACATTATTTTCCAAATAAACACACAAAATGCAAGTTATAACCGATCAGTGGTCAAGTCCACTGATAGGTCTTAATAAGCAAGTGTTAACAGGTGAGCATGTTGCACATTGTCAGGAAGTCCAACATGCATTGGAAAGAATATGTGTGTGCAATGACTTGTTCACAAAATTTCAATACTGGAAAAAACCCACAAATTTACAATAAATTATTAAATTTGAACTGTATCACTTTTTTGAGAAAGTATCATTTTTGAAATGTTCAGCAATCTTGTGAGACACAGGCATACATTTTCAGAAATGAGAGCTGTTATAGCTCTATCATAATTGCCTGAGTCTAGAACAGTTAATATCTAATACTGTAATAATGTTAGCAAGACCAATACTACTGCTGGGCTTCCCTCTGCCTAAAAAGTATTGTGACGTAATATGGAAGAGAGAGAAAAAAAGATAATGAGATAGAGAAATCCCCTTGGAGAACTAGAAAAATAGATTGGAAAGCCATTTATTTAGACTTTAATAGACAATGCTGGCTAGAGGAAAGCAAAGAAAACAGATGATCCCAGAGGCTCTTTATGGGTCTATGATTCTATAATGACAATTTATTATCATTGTTAAATTAGCCATATATATGAAAGGCTTATTAAGTGATTCAGAATATAAGGCAAGAAAAAGATTTTTCATATTCATTTAGTGCAATATTACAGAGAACATCATTCTTCTTTCATTAAATGGAATAAATAATGAAGATATTATTTCACTAGCAATTTAATTATTAAAATAATGGAATTTTTGTTTTGGTTACTTAATACCCATTAACAAAAACAGTTGCTATTAATAAACATAGCACGCTAAAATTTGCAAAGCCCGTAACATACATCATCAACTCATTTGATTTTTACAATTCCAAGAGGTCAGTATTATCTCCATTTTTCAGGTGAGGAAAGTGACCCTGAGAGAAGATAAGTGACTTTGCACATGATCGCAGTGTAGAAAAGGTAAAGACATAATTCAAACCAATTCTATGTCACCTGACTACAAGACAAGCACTTATTTCTGCAAAACACTCCCTCTTAGGCAAAGTAGCATCTCTTCAAAATAGATACCTCAAAAAACAGTACATTTTTTAGGAATTATATCTTTATACTTGAATGTGTTCACCACATACTTAAAGAAACATTCTTTTACAATTAGCTTTCCCAATTTCCATTATTAATAATTTCCAAAGTGAACTAAAAACAGGACATTGAATGAGATGTAGCTATTAAGATATGATGGCATTATTAGGCTTAAAGTTATTTTAAAATTTATTAACATGAATTCATTTATTCAAAATTATTTATTTAGTGCTTACTATATATGCCTGAAACTTTGCTTAGTGTTGTCTGAAAAACAAAGATTAAGATACGGTCTCTATCTCCACGCAGCTTATGTTCTATTAGAAATCATAATTTGATTCAGCAGACTGATGAAGAGATTGGGAACAGAGACAATCTCCAATTTATGAACAAACTGTGTTCCAAAAATTTGCATAAACATTGATTGTTTGAGGGTCAAAAAGAATTTTTCCAAAGAAATATGACCAAGACCAAGACAAAACACCTATTTAATCCATCATGTATAACTAATATAGTACAATGAGTTTTATACAACATAACCATCATATAATAAAATGTTTCTATGGGAAAAATGGGTTTAGAGTAACAATTTAGGAAGCCAGACCCACCAAGGTCCTAAGAGTGAAATAAGACTCTTTTATTCAGCTCAACTCTGTCACTGACCTGCAGAAGGATATGTCACTTGGCTAACATCAAATAATGAGTTAGAGGCAAAACTGGAAGCAAGAGCCAGGTCTTCTGGCTTCCATTTTACTGCTCCTTTCCACTACCTTATGTTAAACTAGAGAATAAAGAAAAAGTTTCAGAGTGATAATTTGAGAAATATAGGGTCAGAAAAACACATAAAACTATCATACTTGAGCTTGCAATATTTGCTAAAGGATAAAATATTTATAATTAAAAGAAAAAAGAAACAAAAAATCAATAACTTAAACATAATGAGCCATTCAGGCCGATT